CCTCAGAAATACGGAGGCAAAGAAATTGTTGAATATGTCAGCTTTACTGTCAGGTGAGATGACCAGATTTCCTAGCGTGTCCTGCAGAGGCCCCACGTTGCTTGGCACCTTCTTTTGCCCCCCTATGTATTTGAAAAAGGATTTCTTGTTGTCCTTTATCTGGGTCACTAGTCCCAGCTCCGTTTCCGCCTTGGCCTTCCTGACCGCCCCCCTACATTTCTGAGCTACCGAGGTATAGCCCTCTCTTGTGATGGCCCCTCCCTTCCAACGGGTGTACGCCTCCTTTTTTATTTGAAGATATTCCTGGATGCTTTTGGTGAGCTGTGAGGGCCTTTGCGATGTTTCATTTGTGCCCAAAACCTACATTGAGCAGTACATTGAGAGATTCACCATTAGTGAAGCTGTCCTTCAGCATTTGCAGATACCAAAAATTCTGGAAAGAAGCCATTCAGTGGAGCCAAATGCATCATCCCCACCTAAAGACCCAAATCCTCTGAGATACTTACGACAACAATCGCTGCCTGCTCCAAAATACACTGCCACCATCGAAGCAACCATTGTTCCCATCGGTGAATTCGAAGCCAGCATTTCAACAGACCATATGTCTCCCGGCAAAACTGTTGTTTCCAGGCTGTGCCTATGCTGACACCCAAGCCTTATTCACAACCCAAAAACACACAGCAGGTTTTAAAAAACTTTAAGGTAGGACGTGCTGTATTGTCCAAAAGCAATGTAAAGGGAAAAGAATCCTAACATAAATCATGTAAATTTATGCATAGAAGCACAACTTAGAGTTAAGGAATTGGGGAACAACCTGGACTTCCCAGTCCTAAACTCTCAGAAAAATGAGTTCCTAGCAATCTCGGGTTAGTCACTTAATAACTAATAGATACTTTTGACATGAATCTTTCTGTGCCACAGGTCCCTATCTGTTAGACGGGGTAACATATTAACCCTTCAATTCACATGGAGGAGGTGTATTAAAATTAATTTGTTTGCTTTGCTCCCTTGGCAGATCAGTTTTCCTCTGAATGAAGTGGCTTGCAAAAGTTAGCCCCTGTAGCTTAACGCATCGTGGGTGGGATAGAAATTATCTTGAAATAAATCAGCCTTGATATTGGGTTTGTTAATGAATGAGAGGAAGATAAATTAATTAAATAGGAATTGTTTTCCTTATTAAGGTCAATTTTGAGGTCAAGTTGTGACCTTATCTAAACAAGATTGTTTTTAAGGTAACATTTTCTGAGGGCTCTATCTAACATGCTGACACTGAGGACAGGATAGAGGATATATATTCTCTTCATTTTTGTTTTCAGCAGTTTATTTTTGGTTTACAGATGTTTGACAGAAGCAAGCCAACCGAGGAAGCCTCTGCTTCTTCGGCACAAGGTAAGCAGCTTAATAACAGGGGAAAAAACATACATAACTTTCCTCTCCTGAAGCAAATAATGGCATCTATCTTAACTGTAAATGTATCTCCCTGAGTTTGCCTTTCACTTTTAGTTTAAGTAAATTGTCATTTCTTGTCATCCCCAAATCTATGATTCCATAATAGGGATGGAGGTGAGATTTCTAATCATCCACCCAACTCCCCGTAGATACAAATAAGTTACGTTGTGAGCTGTAAACAGTTACATATACACCAGAGGTTGATGGCTAGAAAATGGTAGAGATTTGGGGTGTTTTGGGAATTGGCTTGTATGTAAAGTAGATATGTATTAGAATAATGGCCCAGGGCAATGGCAAGCGTTAAGTGATTTTTAAAAGTCTGTTTCTGAAAGTTTCCTCAAGCCGGACTATGTCTGATAGGCAAGCAGAGGCACAGGCTGGGAAGTTAAAGACATGTATCACACTTATCCATAACATGAGATAAGGTGGCACTAGATCATAGTGCCCAGCTGCAGAGCCCTTGGGATTTCGGGTTTTTGGGAACAGACCAAATTAGGACACAGGTAAAGTCCAAATCAGAATGTGTGCATGTGATGCCTTTGTAAAACAAAGGAATATGCTGACAGGATAGAACATGGACAGTATGACCACAACAAAAAGACCAATCAGCGATGCCGAAAGATGAAGAGTCATCACAGAGGGAAAAAGATACAAAAGGAGGGATTTCAGAGCAGCAGAGTTCCCAAGGGGGGAATCCAAGGCCACCATGGACAGAGGGCACACCACTAGCCTGTCTCGCCCACCCAATGGTGGGGAGGGGTGGACCTTGGCCTCTGACCTCCAGGCTGTTGACATTCAAGAGACATTCAAGAGAGAGCCTCAGGGTGAAGCTCGCATACTGGCCAGATGTACCTTCCGTCTGATGACAGCTGTAGGACTGGTAGATACAGAACTGCTTGCATTATTCTTATTTGCTATCACTGTGTATCAATAACATTTACCTATTATCGAATGGAGAGGTCATGGTCGGTCTGAGGGTTGGGGTCCATCCAAGGTATCTGGGTCCACACAAGGTATCTGGGTCATCCAGTACCAACAGAGGTAGCTCCATAATGATTGTAGGTGAAGTGTCTTTGACTTATAGGACTTAACTGGGGTCCAAATCAAGTCAGTTGGAAAACTCCTACAGACTTTAACTAAGAAAAGATTGGATTAATATTGCATATGAGGTACTTCATAGCCATAAAATTAAGTTTTCCTAAATGTAATACATTTTAGTTTTATATATTGTTTTGTATATTGTTTTGACACACAATTTAGTAGAAACAGTAATCTGCAAAGCCAACAGTGACTAGTTTTGATTTCTTCTGTCTGATTTTTTTTTTTTTTTTTTTTAGTTTTTACTTTTTTTTCTTTTTTACAGGTATAGAAAAACGAGGCATTGAAGGCTCCCTACGACAGGAAAGTAGTAGCAGGTGAGATTGATGGTGTAGTTCAAACATCATCAGGCTTTCTTATTTCACTAAATTAAGTAGGATGAATCTAGTTTTTGATTTTTCACTTGGCCTCTATTGTCTAACTCCCCCCTCAACCTTATTTTCTCTTTTCTCTATTTTTTCAGTTTAATTCTTAAATGCATCTGCATCTCTCCTGTCTGTTCTTAGCTCAGATTTTCTGCTTGCTTCATTTCTTCATAGATGTGGTGTCCTTCTTGACTCTGAACTCCTTGTTCCCATATCTCATGTGTCTGTAGGTCTGCCTGCCACCTCCTTTGCAGCATTGCCTGAGCAGACAAAAACATCAGGTTTAGCATTTTAAACATTCTTAGCTAGGATTTTCTCTCTCTCTGATTATTGCTGTTCCCTTCCCTATGATCTTGTGAAATCCTAGCACCTTTTCTTTAGCGTATGCAATAAAAAGAAAGCCTGTCCTTTCCTTAATTCCATTGCCTTCCCTTTCATTTTATGGATCTGTTCAAAAGTACTGCTTTTTAATTTGAAGTCCTTCTAGGTTCAGTGGAGCCTAACTCATGGATCAATCTTGCTGGTTTCCGCAGTACTGGTTGCATCTATGCCTTGCCACATTCTTGCCACTGATATCACTTCTCTCCATCACTACCCTATCTCATGCCAATCTCTGAAAAAAGTATCTTCTTGTCCCCTTCAGTACCTGTTAATTTATCTTTCTGCTGTTACTCAACCCCTTAAAACAGTGGGGAACACAAATTAGTTCCACACTCACCCTGAGTGCCACTCTGATCCCCTTCCCTCACCCAATCTGCTGCTCTTCTTTCTGCTCCCTGCCCTATTTGCAGCTGTCCTGCCTGTCTCCTCCCTGATCTACAGCATGCCACACTTGGAGGCTGCCTATGCAACTTATGACATGCATGCTGCAGGTTGGCCATCCCTGTCCTAAAACAAAATTTCTCTACTCTTTTGATAATATGGATCATACACAAACAAAGGGTCCTTGCCTTTCTCTTCTTCACTGTATCTTTTCATTCTCCCCTTCTCTACAGGTTTTCTTTTTATCTCCTCCTGCCCCATTTCCTTTTCAAACCTTTTGAAGGTACTAGATGACAGTTATGCAAATAAAATGAATTGCAAGAGGAAGCATTTAACACAACATTGAATTTAAGCTAACAGCGTTTTCACTTTATTTTCCCATATGGCTACATCTTGTGCACTCATGTGGCTTTCCCAGTTGTTTTCCCAGTAGCCTTCCTACTTTTCAAGCAAAGTACCGTTTTTGTTTTGTTTTGGGGGTTTGTTTGTTTGTTTTGAACACAACGCACCTTTTTCCAAAATTCAGCAGCTGAAATTTGGGTGCACGTTATAAATAAGGAAATCCAATAATACCAGTTTCTGTCCCTCCTGCAAGGAAGCAAAAGAGTGCTGCCCATGGGGTTCCCTAGTTGCTGACTTTCTCTTGGACACTTTCTCTCTTCAGGATTGCATAGGTTGTTTCAGAAAGTTTTGCAACATCAGCAGGTTTTATAGAAATCTCTGCAAAACTTCTATGCGTAATATAGCAACTTTCTGACAGAACATGGGGAATTGTTGTTACACCTGAGTAGGGCTTTTAGTCTTGTTTGCATATATTGTTCCATAACATTGTGATTTTACAAGCACAAGTATGGATTTTAAACTATACCATAAGTTCATGTAAATAATTATACTTAAATGTGGAAGAAAAGGCTACGTTTTATATTAATGGTTTCCAATATTTTACTAAACACCTGAACTAAAACTTAATAACTCTTATCTCATTTAATATACTAATGTTAAATACTGATTTCATCAGTATATTTTTTTCTTCTTTCAGTGTAAGCATAAGAGGGTCAGAACAGACTGGACCTGGGTTAGCCAGTGGGCAGAATAGACAAGGGTATTGCAACTGCTGCCGTGTACACTACAGAAATCTTGAACAGGTAAGAAAGTTGGGTCATCATGTAACAGCATATGGTTGGGAATTTAAAAAAACGAACAATTGATTTCACCCATGTTTTTCCTGTACCACAGTTATCACATCATATTGCCATATATTAGGAGAGGGTTGACTAGCATCTAGACTGATAAGCTTGTGTTATTTTAATCACAAATAATGAGCATTTCTTTTCATATTTTTCCAATAACAAATGGAAAATGACCATTTTGATAGCTTTTTCCTGTCTGTAATGGATTCATCATACATGTCTGTCAAATCTGGATCTCAGCATCTCCCAGCTTTTAAAAATCAAAACAGCAGTTTCTTTCACTGGTATAGGAGAAATAGGTTGGTTATTCTGTGGGTTTTTAAAAATTTGTACACATGTGGAAAACCCACTGAAAACAGTGTTTCTCCTGAAAACGAGGTCCATGGTCCTAGAACCATATCTAACCTTAACTATTACTCAGCGGGCACATCTACACGTTTATTAATGTGCCGTAGTTACGGTGCATTAAGTTTAGTACTTGGTTAACCAAATACTAAATCAGTGTGTAGTAACTTGCACTACTGCGCAGTAGCGCTGGCATATGGCTATAGCATATTAGCACAGTTTTTGCCTGGCATGCTACTGCATGGTGTTATTGAACTACTTGCGTAGTTAGTGTCTTGTGTAGACTTGCCCAGTGACTTCAGTAGGATCATGCTTGTGTTTAGAGTTAGCCACA